TGGTTTGTTGATTTTATCTTTTGAAAAAAACGAACTATTTTGTTTTTAAAGTATTTTATTTATTTGTGATCTGATCTTGTTTCTTCTATTAATTTTGCACTTGATTTGTTGTTTTTCTGCTTCCTTAAACTGCATTATTTATTTGAAATTTTTCTATTTTCTTGATATAGCCATTTAATATTTTAAATTTGCTTATTACTATTGCATTTGATGAATCCTGCAGATCTGGTAGGTTGTATTTCCATTTTCATTTTTTTCAAGACATTTTATAATTCCCCTTTGGATTTCTTCATTACCTCCTTGGTAAGTTAAGAACATTGTTTACTTTCCATGTGTTTTTACAATTTTTTAAGGTTTCTTATGTCATTGGATTGTGGTTTTATTCCTTTGTAGTTGGAGAGGATATATAATACGAGGTTTTTTGTTTGTTTGGTCTCTTTGTCGTTTTGAGACAGGGTTTCACTATTCACTTCAGGCTGGCCTTGAACTCACTTTGTAGCTCAGGTTGGCTCAAACTTGGAATGATCCTCCTGCCTCAGCCTCTCGAGTGCTGGGATTACGGGCATGTGCTACCACATCTGGCTAATATGATTTTGATTTATTTTTAATTTGTTGGTCCTTATTTTGTGAGCCATGTGTTCTGTCCGTAGTGTGTTCCATGTGCTAGCAGATGACAACAAAGACTTCTGCTGCTGCTGGCTGAGATGTTCTGTGAGAGTCTGTTAGTCTGCTGGGTCTGCAGTGTGCCACAGCGTTCCTTCCTTGATGCTTTTGGTCTGCATAATCTAACTATTGCATTGGAGTCTTCTAATAAAGTTTACTTTATGCAATTGGTGCTCTAGCATTGGGTGCTTGTGTATATAAAATTGCTGTTTTTCATGTTGAATCGATCACTTTGTCATTATATAGTGATATTTATCTCTGAATAGTTCTGGGTCTGGAAGTCCATTTATGTAATATTAAGATAGCTGCTCCTGCTTGTATCGATTGACTTCTGTTTGGAACATCTTTCCCACTCCTTCACTTCCAGCCTGGTGTCTTTGCTGGTGAAGTCAGTCCCTTCTCAGCAGCCCATCCTTAGTACTTGTTTGTATCCATTCAGCCACTCTGTCTCTTTGTTAGGAAATTTGAGCTGTTTACGTTAAGGTTGCTATTCATAAGTGCAGATCTCTTCCTGCCATTTTGTTGTTTTCTAACTTTTTTGTATGTTCTTTGTTCCTTTTGGTCTTATTTTTCGGGGGCCTGGTTGTTCTCTGCAGTGATAACGTTGATTCTCTCATTCTTGTGTCTGCTGTACCAGTGAGCAGTGAGTTTTGTTCTCTCATGTGTTGGTTGTCATGTTGGCCGTTTTCATCCTTTTGCTGACTGACGTAGGGCTTCTTTAACCATTCATTATGGAAACATTCTACTGATGCTGAACTCCTGGAGTTTGCTTGTCTGAGGAAGTCATTATTTCTTCTTAACTTTTGAAAGGTAACTTTGCTGGGTATATTTGTTGGCAGCTTCCCTCCCAACCCCTTTTAGAATTTAGAGCTGTATGTGGTGGTGCATCCCTGTAATCCCAGCACTCGGGAGCCTGAGACAGGAGGATCTCTGAGAGTTTAAGGCCATTCTGGGCTACATAGTGAGTTCAGGGTTGACTTGGAATTCATGGTGAGTTCCTGCCTCGAAAAGTCAAAAGAGAAAAAGAAGAAGAAAAAGAAGTTAAGATATGTCATCTGTCCTCACCTGTAATGCTTCTGCTCAGAAATCTGCTGATAGTCTAACTGGGTTCAGGGCCCTATATGTGATAAGGTACTTTTGTCTTACTGTTTTTAGAATTCTCTACCATGGACTTTGACGGTTTAGAACATGCCACGGAGGGCCTTTTAAAAACTGTTCTAGGGGTTCGTTGACCCTGCTAGACTTGGGTGACTACTTCTTACACAAGGTTTGGGAAGTTTTTATTGACTAGGTTTTTTATGCCTGCCTTCTGCATATCCTTAATGCCAATCTTGGTTCACTTAATGGTGTCTCATAGGTTTTGTAGGGTTTCTTCACTCGTCTGTGGTTTTTATCTGAGTTGTTTCAAGTTCAGAAATTCTTTTTCTCAACATACTGCGTTGTGGAAGCTCTGAGTTGGATTTATTTTTAGCTGATTGAATTGCTGAGCGCCAGGTTTCTTCTACCGCCTGTCTCTCTTGGATTTCTCATTCCAGCCATGAATTGTTTTCCTCCTTTTGTTGGATTTCCTGTCTGTCTGCTCTTGCATCTCAGGTTGCTTAGGCTCATTATTCCGAATTGCTTTTTTGTACACTTCTTAGGTTTCTGTACTGTGGAACTTGTGTCTGGGGATCGCCCTGTTTTTAGGGTGTCATGATTCTTGTTTCCTTGCCTCTCCGAGCCCCTGTGGCCATGCATCATTGTGTGCACTTCTGACTTAGCAGTCGCCTCTTCTGATTTTATGGATTGTCTGTTCATGTGTTATAGAGTGTTGTTTGGATGTGGCGCTTAGCTGTGGTCCTGAGTGGGCACATACATGTAATCTCTGTGCGTATTCCTCACCCAAGATGCCCTCCCTGGCAGCTGTGAGCAACTTGGTGGAGACCCCAGGTGCTGGTGGAGGCAGCTGTGAGACTTTGCAGTGGGTGGAGGTGGCTGGGTGTATGACCAGGATTCTGGGGAGTGTTTCCTGAATGCTGATCTCACCTCAGCCAGTGACCCATAGGGGAAGTCCTCAGGCCTGGCAGGGGCAGATCCTCCTGTTGGTGGGACCCTCCGGCAGGGACAGGTGTGGACTGTGGCAGCCATGTGCCATGCCCTGTGGTGGTGAGTGGTGGTCGCAGCACTGGGAGGCTGGGGTTATAAGGACGGGCTCCAGCCCCAGGATGTGCAGTCCTGATCTTCTCAGGTGATGGGGTGACATTTCCTGCTGTGTGGGCCACCTGTTACCATGTTCAAGACTCTGTCTGGCCTTGGGTGCTGGGATCCCTACTGTGTAGCTGAGTCCTGTTAGGCTTTGAGGTGCTGTGTTCTGTGTGAGGGTAGTGGAATGGATGGGGCCAGGCTCCTGTCTCTTAGGTAGCAGGGGCTGCGGCGGTGACTCTTTCCATGGTGGCACCTCGCTCAAGCTAGTACATCTGGGGTCAGGAGCAGGAGACAGCAAGTACCCTTCCTAGACAGAGCTGCCCTGCGGACTCCGGGCTGCTGCCCTCTGCCCGGCTGTGATGACTGGAACCTCCTGTGGCTGGAATCCAAGCATCTCTGGCGATGATATCTGCCAGGGTGTCCTGTGGCGAGGTCCCCAGCGGCAGAGCTAAGCTCATCCGGGGCTTGTTCTGTCTCCCGCCACTACTCTCTCCGCTGCTGAGTTCCGGTTCCTCCACCTCTCCCCCTGAAATGTGGTCTTCATTTGTCTGCTTTAGTGGTCCTTTCTGCATGAGGTAAACGCCGGGCACCTCTGTCTATCTTGGAATTCTCCAGATTCAGGTTTATTTCTAAATCTGACCTGAGAGACCTGAAGAGCAAGCCTCCTTTCCTTATCCCTAGACTACACTTCCGCCGTAGTGGGCAGGCAGCTCCTGGTGAGCTCTGTTCAGTGATGGAGCCAGACAGTCTCTGCTTACCTTGTATTTTTTTCTCATCTAAACCTCGGCGGATTATAGCTTGTCAGGTGATTTTCATTTATTCTGGTTCAATCTAATAATAAAGCGGAAGCTATTTTATTAGGGTTAAACCAAATTAAAATTCTTGCCCAAGAGCAAGGCAACTTGGAAACATCCTGCGGCAAGATGAGTGGGTGGAACAGGTTCCGCGGAGCACAGGGCAGGGACGTTCTGTGCCTTCTGCATTGCCCTGTGCTCCCCAGCTGCAGGACCGGGTGCTGCGGCTCCTGAGCTGCTCCCACTTTCCGGGGATGCAGGGCTGTGTGTCAAGCCTGTTTTATTTTAAATTCTTACAAGCGCCAAGCTGGTAAGTTTGGTTTGCTTCATCAGTTTACGAAAAAGAACTGGGTTCACTGTCGTATATATTTTTCATAATTAACTGTTAAACATATAATTTTATTGGAAATCCATGTGTTAATGAGATGGTCGTTGGAGGAGAGGTGGTGCTTTTGTGGTATGCCTGAAAGGTGTCAGCCATCCCTTGGGCCTCAGAGAGTTTCCCAGCCCTGGGGAGCGAGCAGATGGCTGGGATGGGCAGGAGACTAGGTCTTGAGCAGGACCATGGGGGCACCTGTGAAGGAGAACTTCGCCTCACACCGCTTCATGGGCAGAGCAGGTTTAGAGGCTCTGTGTGGAAGCTGACGATCTAGATAGGAATTTATTGCTTTTAAAACAGTCCGATTCTTTCTGGGATCTTGGAGTGTCCGTGCTTGTCCCCTTGCGGAAGCATGAACTGAACAGCCACGTGTGTGTGCACACAGCTGCACCTTCCTGAGCTAAGGAAGCCAAGAGCGGGAGCGCCACTCAGCACGGGGTGGGCACAGAAGTGGAAGAGCAGGAGGGACAGCCACATTCCGCACCCCAGCCCTGCCCTGGCTCCTGCCTGGAGGCTGATGTCACTGCTTGGGATAGGAGTGGGTAGTGAGTGACCCAGCGCCCAGAGATGTGGGCCCAGACTCTACCATGGTGCTGGTGCCAGGCTGGCTCCTCTAGCCCCAGTGTCTGGGCTACCACGGGCCAGGCGAGCTCGGTGGCTCTGGGCTCTGGCCTGGCCCCAGCCCCAGGCTGAGAAGTCTTCCACTCACTAGTCCTGGGGGCTTGGCAAGTGTGTGGCTCTTCTCAGAGTTAACGTCTGCATCCATAAATGCTTCACTACGCTGTGAAGATTATGTTCATCTGTGTATGGAAAACCTGAAGGTCACAGCAGCTCCCTGAGGAAAACCAGTGCGGCTGATTTTCTTTTCAGGACTCCGGGGAGGTGCATGTTACACTGAGGGTATCAACTATATGTTTGCAAGGAACCTGTGTTTACCTTCTCAAGGACACAGACCTGAATGCTTTTTTTCTTTCTTCCAGGGGATGCAGAGAGCGACCAATGTCACGTACCAAGCCCACCATGTCAGCAGGAACAAGAGAGGGCAAGTGGTGGGCACGAGGGGCGGCTTCCGCGGGTGCACAGTGTGGCTGACAGGTATGGTCGGGGTGGCGGGGAGTGAGGTGTGCTCTGTACTGGGACCCCCTCTCTGTTGTGGATGCAGTCATGATGTGCTGCTAACTTGTACGAATAAAAATAAGAATAAACGTTAAAATGCAGAAAGGCGGTGTTACAGATGGGCTGTAGGTTTCCGCTGATTGACTTTCGAGCTCTGTTCTTACAGTCGGAGCAAAGACAGCATATATCTGACATGGTTGCTTTATCATAACACATTCCTTTCCAGTAATTCCTTTCCTTTTTGGGATTGCTGGTAAATGAAGAAGAAAACCCAGAATGCATCTTAAGACACTCCTTCAGTAGATGCTACACTAAATTAAACTTTGATTGCAAATGTGACCCTGATTCCGCTCGAGGAAACTGGCAGTGTAAACTGCACGGAGAGAAAGGAGGAGGGTCGGGGGAGTCCATGCAGTTTGCATCTTTCAGCTTTGCTTTGGCCTCCGATCGTCCCCTGCTGGGGTTTTCCCAGGGTCTCTTTCTGGGCTCAGCCACAGCAGGCTGGGAGGAGGGTAGATTGATCCCAGTTTTAGGGGACAAGCTGAAAAAATGCTGGATCCTTTCACATAGAGAAATTGTGTTTAAAGTTCTGCTCCGTCTTGCCGGGTTGCCCACTGCCATTCTATATCAGTTTATTCCGCCTGTAGCCATGTGGGATGGGCTCTGTTTTCCAGAGTCTCTGTCAACACTGGATATGACCAGACCTAAGCACTTGGTGCCAATTATCAGGAAACTTCATTTTTAAAACTACGTGATGCAGACAGGGCATCGTGTTTTTCTATGGAAGGAGATATAGGCAGTTGGGTGCGGTGGTTCACACCTGCAGTCCCAGCACTCTTGAGAGACTGAGGCAGGAGAATGGCAAGTTTGAGCTCAGCCTGAGTAACTCAGTGACTTAGCAGGACCCTGTCTTGTGAAATAAGAAGGGCTGGGGACATAGCTCAGTGTGAAGGCCCTGGGTTCAACCCCTGGGAGCACATATGAAAGAGATGCAGATGACTCCAATTTTTCCTATCTCCCCATTCTTTTCTCTGTCTAGATTGGTAAGGCCTTGCTTTTATGTTGTCTAGGGTTGTCGCACTTACATTCTGTTCTAACACCTTAAATTTCTGTAATTGTAAGTATTTTAGTTGTATAAGTAAATTGATTCAGTACTCAGTGTCGTTTCTTTTACTATGGTGTGTTCACTCCTGAGCCCTTTATTTCAATCAGGTCTTAATAGTTTATTTGATTGGTTGATTGATTTAGGAACACTGGGGACTGAATAGGCAAGTGCATGATAGGCAAGCACTCTGCCACTGAGCTACGTAGCTGGCCTTGAATCTGCGATCCTCCTGCCTCAGCCTCCTGTGTGACTGGGATGGATGCATGCCTGGCCAGGAGCTTTTCATTTTCCATTTGATACTCTTTCCTCAGTCTCCTTTTAGAAGTTTTGCTTTCTCCTTTGAGTCCCCATCTGCAGTTGATTTTTGTGTATTGTGTGTGTAATCCATCATCCCCCATATGTGCATTGACTAGGGAATCCTTTTTTTGGGACCCTCACCTAGCCCTGTCCTGTGTCAGTCTCCACTTGCTCAGGATCTGTTCCACGGATGTCTCAAGAATAGCAGTGTACGCCCTTGGACGTTGTCCTGCATCAGTAGTGTGGGGGTTGTGTTTTTAGTATGACCCCATTTTTGTGTTATCATACACGTTTTGTAATAGATTGAACAGTTTCCCAGAACTCTGTAGGGATTAGTTTGGGACTGTGTTGTATCTGAAGGTTAACTGGGGAAATGGATCTGCAGACTGTTGGATGCTCTATTTTGTGGTATTTTCTGCTTGTCTCCCCACTAATGATTTTAGGTACTGTTGAGTGATTTTGGGGGATTGTTTTGCTCTGGGCTGTCACAGTCTTTAGTTCCCTCTGTCCCTGGTGCTCCCTTCCTGCCGGTTGGCGAGCTGTGGTCTTGTGATTTCTGCTTTAGGCAGAGCAAGGCCAGAGAGAAGAGTGCTGTGCTGTATCTCTGGCTCCTTCCCCACCTGTGTCAGAGTGCACACGGAACTTTTCCGTATGTGCTGTGAGAATTTGTAGTCAGAATTCACAAGAAGTGTGGGGTCTTCTATGACTGGTTCTCTTGGAATTTTACTTTATAATTTTATTTTATTTATGTTTTGGTCTTTTTGAGAGGTTCTTGCTGTGCAGTTCAGACTGGGCTTGAACTCACTTTGTAGCCCAGGTGGGCCTTGAATTTGTAGTGATCCTCCTGCCTCAGCCTCCTGAATGCTGGGATTACAGGCGTGCACCACCACGCCCAGCTCAGTGTCTTTTGTGTAGTCCACTTTGCTCACACAGTAATTGTTGCTGATTGTACTGTACTGTGCAGTACTATAGTTTTATGTCCTGTTATACATCACAATGCTGTGTGTAAGAGTTAGGCAAATAAAAGTGAGGTCATCAAGGAGTTTCCTTTGACCGTTTCTTTGTTCAGAGTATTGTAATATACAGACTGTATATAATATCCTAGTTAGTGACCAATTCAGTTAGGGACCTAGTCTTGGGACCAGAGCTCTGTCCTTTAGCGAGGAACTCCTGAAGTGCTAATGAGAGACAAGGTGAGTACAGCTACCCAGCGGAGTCCAGAGTCGTCCCTTTTGATGTTTATCGGTGACATCTGGGTGCCCTTGGGCATAGATTCAAACACCAGAGCGAATGCTTCTGGCTGTTTTCTGACAGGGGAGGCTTGTGTGTTTCTGGGGGAGGTGGCTGTCGCCTGTGACTCAGCCTGCTGCTCGGTCCTTAGTCCCAGTGCTGTCAGTCACTGCTCTGCACTGCCCTGTTCCAGGCCTGTCTGGCGCAGGGAAGACCACGGTGAGCATGGCCCTGGAGGAGCACCTGGTCTGCCATGGCATCCCGTGCTACACCCTGGACGGTGACAACATTCGCCAGGGGCTCAACAAGAACCTGGGCTTCAGCCCTGAGGACCGGGAGGAGAACGTGCGGCGCATCGCCGAGGTGGCCAAGCTGTTCGCAGACGCGGGCTTGGTCTGCATCACCAGCTTCATCTCGCCTTACACGCAGGTATGCGCGGCTGCGGACACCAAGCTGGGCCCCGCACTGATGCATGGCGCGGGCAGGACTTGAAGAGGGAACCCGGGAGGCCGAGCGCAAACTAGAGTAACCCAGGATGTTTCTGCATTGTGACTCACCTGAGTGATTCCAGCTTTGGTAAAACCTGCTGCTAAAAAACTCAGAAGTATAACAGCTGAACTCCAGCCAGGGGCCAAATGGTTTCAAGCTTGACTTTTTAAGTTAGTAAGCCTATATGTAGTGAGTACTTAGTAGTTGTCTGGTACCAGGGGAAATTCACGCTGCTGCTGCTGCTGTTGCTGCTATTCCTGCTCCTTCTCCTCCCCCTCCCCCTTGCCTCCTTCTCCTCTCACCCCCCTCTCCTCCTCCTCCTCCTTCTCCTCTTCTTTTTCCTCATCCCCCTCCCCTCTCCCCTGCCCCTTTTCTTCCTACTCTTTCACCTTTCCCCCTCCTCCTCTCCTTTTCCTCTTCGTCCTCCTCCTCCTCTTCTTTCTCCTTTTCCCTGCTGCTGCTGCTGCTCCTCCTCTCCCTCCTCCTTCTTTTTCTTCCTTTTAATTTTTGTATTTTGAGACAGAGTCCCAGTATGTAGTTCAGATGGGCCCTCAACTCATCATATAGCCTAGGCTGGCCGTGGTCCTCCTGCCTCAGCCTCTCGAGTGCTGGGAGTATAGATATGTGCCCCCATGTCCCGCATACGGAGTCCTATCCAGGCTTCTTAATGTGTGTCCTTCCATGACGCCTGTGCCCACAGGTCTTCTGTCTTATTGTCACCGGAGTCCTCTGCTACCTTAGCAGCAATACTGTGTCACCTTTTTGTATTTCTCTGTAAAGCTCACGGGGCTTCTTACCCTAGGATTTGGTTTCAGCCCCCACTGGATGGGCTCTTTTTCCTCCTCCTGCTTCTCTCCCCAGGTCAGTGGACTTCTTTGCACCCTTCTTTCCCCATGTCTTCTTTTGGGGGCGCCCCTGGTTGGTGTCCCCGCTCCTGTTCCTTAACGTAGTGTGTTGTGATGTCCCCATTCATGGGTACTGCTCACGGTAGCGGTGGTGATAACAAGGTTTGGATAAAGTGACAGCTCATACTGAGCAGGCACTGCCTGCTGCGAGTGTTGTAAGGTGCTTTTTTGTAATCAGCTCAGGTCGTTTCATCTTGCAGTGAGGAAGGTAGCCGTGAGAAACCAGGTGTCACACGCCCAGGGTCATGCGCTGCACTGGCAGAGCAAGGCTCTGTGCCCAGACACACCCAGCCTGTACTCCGTGCCCCTCACCCAGTGCTGCACCCCAGCTCCCGCAGTGCTGGAGCTGCACGTGTTCCGTCTTTGGGATCCTGACGCCAGCTCAGGCCTCATGACGCAGTAGAGGCTTGGTGTCCTTGAGCGGCATCTTACTTCCTTAGGAAGCCTGGCTGTTGAAGCGTAAGCCAGTTAAGATAACGGGTGAGGGCAGGTGCTGTGGACTTGGACACAGATGGGCTGAAATCTCTCTGCCACTTGCTGCTGTGTGGCCTCGCTGAGCTCACTAAGCTTGCCGAGCTCTGGTATCACCTGAATGGTAGGCGGGGTTCCTCGGAGGATTAGATAGTACGTCATGCGGCACAGCCTTCCGCCCAGACTTCACGTGTGAGGCGTATTCAGTTGTGTCGTAAGTCATGGTAGTGCAGTTCTAGCATTGAAACATACCTATATATATATATATATTTTTTAACAAAACAAGCAAAAAGTAGTGGCAGAGTTTATTAGAGAAGCAAAAATGAAGAGTGGGAGAGAAACTGGCTTTGCAGAGCGAGCTTGGGAGAAAAAGGGAGAGAGTGAAGATAGACGTACACACTGCACCTGGGACACACAGTGTGGGCTGTTGTGGACCTCGGTGATAGCCAGGTCACATCTTGATGACCATAGGTATCTTTTAAACAAAATTCGAGCTGTACATTTTATTTTGTCTGTAGTATCAGGTCGACTGTTCCTCACACAGTTTGGCTTAGTTGAGTCCACGCAGCAGCCCTAAAATGTTTCCTGAGGACTAGGTACTTTCATTGTCCTGAGTCAATACATTGGTGTAAAGTGTATCAAACGAAATGCCAGTTAGACAGGGCTCAGCATCCTGGGGTCTGAACAGTTCTCAAGGAAACACAGTAACAGTGATGTTCTTGTACCTTGTGGGCAACTCGTAACTGCAGGAAAATGCTAAAGGCAAGAGCCCCTGTTTGAGAGCCACCTGCTGATCTGCCTTCTTCTCTGTTTCTATAGCAAGGAGATCTTCGTGGACTGAGTCTGTAAGAGCAGTGGAATGAGGTTTAGGTTCTATTTAGAGCACGTCAAAACCCATGATAATATTTGTCTTAAACCAAGCAATGTGGGTTCTGTATATTTTTTGTGATCATGTTTGTTCACTCATATGTACTTTTTGAGTGCTTTTCTAATACCACTGAACTGGGCCTCTTGGTTCTGAAATGAAACCCACGAGTTCTGTCCTTGCCCTGTGAGCAGTTCCCATATCCTGAGGCACAGGGTGAGGGTGTGTCTGTGACCAGCATGTGGAGAGCTGGCAGAGGTGCTACATGGCCCCTGTCATGGTGGAATGAGGGTAGGGCTGTTCTCGACTGCGGGTCTGCAGGAGGGTGGCGTCTGGGCTGGCCTGGCTGGGCTGCCGCTGTCCATGCAGGAGGACCGTGGGGGGCTCCACGATGTCCTTACCCTGCAGGAGCGGCAGTGTGAGACTCAACGCAGGGTGCTGTCCTGTGTTTGCACGCCTGTGGTGGCCCCTTGGGAGCCTGGCAGGAGGACGCTCGAGATGGTGTCCAGTTTGGCAGTAGCACCTGCTCTGTTGAGGAGAAGGGAGTGAGTTCAGGTGGCAGTGTGGGGACAGGAGAGATGGGATGAATTTGGGGCTCGTGAGCTTATAGCACACCCTGCAGGGAAGGCTTCCTAGAGGAGGAACACCGGCCACAGTCTGAGAGACCTAGGGTGTGGCAGGGAGGACAGGTGAGAGGCCCACACAGCCTTGAGGGACAGGAGTGGGCTTGTAGGTTGTTCTGTCCAGTCACAGCCATGTTTGTTCATTCACTTAGGTGATGTTTTTTGAGTGCATCTGTATGAACCTTGGAAGTGGGTGTCTTGGTTCTTAAAGTAAGTACAAATTATTAATAGAGCAGTGAGTGCTAGTCTGGTACCTCAGCCTAGTCCTAATCTCTGGTGAGCTTAGCAGGATGGCTAGAGTCACATCCTCTTATCCTGGGACTAGGAGAGTGAGGCTTAGAGCAGCTGGGGACCACTGCAAAGGCTGTTGATGCTGTCCGGACCAGAGAGACGAGGCTGACCAGGAGAGGGAAGCGCGCAGAGTTGGTGTCGTGTATAGAACTAAAATCTGCATGACATATGACCCTGTGAGTGTCTGGGGAACAGGAGGCAACCAGCATGACTCCTCAGATGTGGTGAGTGTTGTTGTTACCCTTTGACGTGGTCAGTGCACTTGACAGGAAATGCAGGCTTGGAGGAAAGAAGATGGATTCCCTTTGGGACATGTTAGTTCGAGACACCTGTGGGCCATCAAGGCGTGTTAGGAAGAGGTCGGGAGAGGGTGTTTGATTCAGAAAAGGGTAAGGCTCAAGCTTAGGTATTGGTGGAGATGGTGTAGCTTATGTTGTGAAAGCAGCTGGTACAGTGCTCTGGGATGGTACAGTGGGCGCTGGGCTGGGGGAGGTGGTGGTGATGTAGGAGGAGCCAGGCATAGAGAACACGTTGTAGGAAACCTTGGGGGTAGCGTGTGACAGGCAGTGAGAGCCCTGGGATTTTATACACTGGAAAGTGCATGTGGTGAAGGGAAAATTTATGTATGATTTTTATCTTGGCACTTTCTTCATTGCTGGGACACAATACCTGATACCCACAAGTTAAAGGAGGAAAGGCTTATTTCGTCTCACAGTTTCTAGAGGTTTCAGTCCATAGCTGGATGGCTCCAAGGCAGGGTGGCATGGCAGAAGGGTGTGGTGGAGGAGAAGCAGTCCATGGCAGGGCAGGCAGGAAGCAGAGAGATCAAGGGAGGAGGAGGGAGATAGACTCTTGCAGGCTGTGCCCCCAGTGACCCACCTCCTTCAACCAGCCTTCACCTTCCACCATCACGTTTAGCAGTGGACTAATTACTGTATCACACCCCCATAACCCAGTCACCTCCCCAAAGCCCCACTGTGAGTGCAGGAGGCTTTAGGGGGACATCTAGATATAAACCATCACAATTTATTAGTTTATTTGTTTTTGATGGATGAGATTGGCTTGTTCTTGTTATTGCAAGGGAAAAAGCCATTGGAGAGAGTGAGGCTGAGGGTCCAGGTGGAGTGGGGAATGGGCTGGAGGGCCTCTTGGAAAGGGAGGAGCTGGGACAGTGCAGGGTGCAATGGCTAGAGAGTAAGGGTGTGGGAATGTAGGTAAATTTGCATGACAGCTGACTGAGAGGTTCCTGACTGGGCTTTTCTTTTTGAAATGGGGAAACAGCATGGCCATCTGGTGAGAGTGGCTGGTAGGTATGGTCAGTCAGAAGAACCATGAGGAAGGTGGCAGAAGCTTGAGTGAAGGGAGGAGGATTCCTTCTGTGCTATGAGTGTCTGGCCGTCTACCCTGGTGTACCCGCTGTGGGTGTGGGCTGCACTTGAAGACAGCAAGATGGACTGCACGCTCTGGGGTTTGAGTGAAGGCAGAAAGTAGGAAGGGATGACTCGGAAAGGACAGGGTGCCCCAGAGGAGGGAGTGGGGAGAGCATAGACAGAATGGTGAAGTTGGGGTCAGGAGCTGTGCAGAAAGGTAAAGCTGCAGGCTCAGGGCATGTGTCTGGCCCTGGAGTAGGGCAGGAACCAGCTCAGGAGCAGGGGTGTTGTTCTGTGAGGTTGCTCTTGGCCAGCAGAGGTGGAGCTAGGGGCAGCTGCAGCCGAGCTGAACTTAGGCTCACGTTTCCTGTAGATTTAGGTAAGGTTTGTACCATCCATAGTTCCCCTGTAACTCTGCGGGATCCTGGGTTTGGACAACAGTGTGGCTTTTAAAGTTACCATGAAGAAAGAGTGTTAAGCTAACGGTGTCTTGGATTTATCTGTTTCAGCCTTCAGTTTATATTTTAAAAATGTAAATGAAAATGTGCCTGACGCGCTTGCCTCTAGCTCGGGTGAAAAGCACTTCCTGTTGGTGTGGGTGGCGCTGTGGTCAGTTTCCACTGGTGATGCGTGTGTCTTTTGTCTCTCAAGGACCGGAACAACGCCCGGCAGATCCACGAGGGCGCCAGCTTGCCGTTCTTTGAAGTGTTTGTTGACGCCCCTTTGCATGTTTGTGAACAGAGGGACGTCAAAGGGCTCTACAAGAAGGCACGAGCTGGAGAAATTAAAGGCAAGTGATTCTTTCTTCCCAGTCTTCTTGGCTGAGTCTGCTGCCTGTCTCTGGGTCTGATGCTCTTTTCTAAGGGTGGTTGTGGTGGCTCAGGGCTCCTCCTGTCTCGCAGGCTTTGAAGTAGCCTGCCCTGATGTGCGGGGAGCCTGCTGGTCACGAGACAGAGCTGGGCCAAGAAGGGGATGAAGCTTGCCTGGTTCAGTGAGCGGCTGGCGTGGGAGCCCAGCTGTCACCGCTTCCCTCTGAAAACGTGGGAAGCCACAGAGCTAGTGGAAAAAAAAAGATACCTGAACTTTGAGCATCTCGATGGCCAGGAAACATCCTGCTCATACTTGTGGCACCTGGAAGGGTCCCCGGTTTGTTCTGGGAAGGGTGGTTGAGTTAGATTGGATTAGTGTGTTACTCATTCTGTAAACACACGCCCTGCTTTGGAAGAGAACTGTCTGTCCTGTGTCTCCTGCTGCCCTTGATGGCAGTCGTATTTGAGGCGGAGCCCAGGTTCCTTTCCACAGGAAGGGGAGGGAGAGCTGCAGGTGGCTGGTAGATCTGCTCAGTCCTCTGTGCTCCCTCCCTCTGTTCCTTGCCACCTGCACATGGGAAGTGGAGGATTTGAGGCCAGCCGGCCCCTCCATCTCCTTGGAACTCTACTTCAGTCAGTCCTTTTCCCGCCTCCTCTGATTTGGTCAGCCGTGAGCAAAGGAGCCTGAGCATATGAGCCAGTGACTGGTGCAGGTGTCCTCTGACACCAGTCCTGTTGCATTGGTGTTAATGGAAACAGAGGACAGGGCCACCTTGGGAGACCAACAGTGAGTGAGTGTCATTTAGGGGCCAGTGATTCCCTCAGGTCACTTTGTGTTGCCTTCCCCGCACGGTGGGGTAGCCAGGGTCCATCCCCGGAGCCCCCTCCCCCAGCTCTGTGAAAGTTAGATTTTATTGTTCGCTTTCTGGCCCTGGAAGGGAAAAGGTGAAAAGGGTGAGAAAATGCTTGTTACTCTGGGCTTTTCTGTGTCTGGCTGGTGGAGTATGTTAGTGCTTGGGGCAGATCCACCTGTTGCCGTGACCCAGAACCCTTAGGCAGTGCTGGCGCCCTCACGCACAATGGCCGAGTTTTGTGTGGATTTGACACAGAGGGGCGAGGTGGATCCCAAAGTCCCTGCACCTTTTACTTAAACTGTAACTGGGCGTGCTGTTTTTGCAAGGGTGCGTGGGTAAGTGAGGAAGGTTTGTCCACCCGGCTGGAGTGAGCTGCTGTGAGCAGGGACAGCAGCATTTTCCTATCTTTAAAATTGAGCACACTGCGGCCGAAGCATGCCGGTGCGAGCTGGCCAGATGACAAGGAGGGAAGTGGATGCTTCTGCCTGTGCTTTCTGTCTCTGGAGTGCAGAGATGAGCAAGAGCAAATCCAGAGGGTCCTTGTGTCATTTACAGTTTGTACCCCAGACTGGGGCTGTGTTGTGTTGGTTCGTTTTTACTTTCTCAAGTCCTGGTACATTCAGTGTAGACTTTGATAGAATGTTTCTTTGGTTAATGTGTGAGTGTGTGTGTGTATGTGTGTGTGTGTGTAAGAGAGAGAGGTTTATGCACATTGATTTATTTTAGTTTTGTTGTGCTGGACGTCCTGATTATAGGGTTGTTTAGTGTTTTGCAAAATCTTTTACACGTCAAGACGGTGCTCAGTGAGTCCCCTCTCAGTGCGGTTTCAGACCCTTGATGGTGAACATCGTGGAACAGATGGCATTTGGGAGCGCTCAGGCTTTTACAGACCTTTTACTGGACAGTAAATACATCGCCAGGCCAGCCGTTCTCACATCTAGGTCATTTCGTGATTATCCTCAAGGAGTTCTGTGTTACCACCTTGACTGTCAGTGTCTTTCTCCAGCAAGTCTTCATTGTCACCACCTGTGGGATAAATCAGCCAGAGGCAGAATTCTAGATTTCTGAATTGCCAGGCCAGGGCTGCTAACCAGGGTGGTTCTCTGGCTTTCCTGCTGGCTGTCCATACTGTGTGTCTGGGCCAGGCCGGTCCCCAGTGTGGACGCCATGGGTGTGGCTCATCCTGGTGTATAGCCAGGTGTGAGAACTGGAGCAGAACAATTAGTTTCCTAACCAGAAGTGTTTTTTTTTCCCAGCTACTTCAATTTGTGACCCATTACTAGCTACTATTGGGAACACTGGTGATATAGAAATTTTTTCTTGCATTTAGGACTTCACATGATGCTTAGAAATATGAAATAGAAGAAAAATAAATAAAATGAATGAGCTGATGAATCAGTGTGTGAAATAAGGTGTCTTTCAACAGAAATCCACACAAAACAAAATGAAAGACAAAAATGTGAACACAGGCTGCAGGAGCTTCAGTTCGCGTTTGCCAGGGAGGGGCGGTCAGGACCCCCTTTACAGTGTCCTGTGAGTGACGAGAGCCCACTGGTCTGTTCAGAGATGAAAGGAGAGTTTAAGTCGCAGTCCCTCGAGGAGGCAGTGTCCTTCCCATCCTGAGCACATGTCCTACCCAGAGGGGACGTAAATTTCAGCAGCCACCAAGCCTTGTACTCTAGAAGCAAACTGTTGTCTACTGCCTGTTAAAGGTTTCACTGGGATCGATTCGGAGTATGAGAAGCCGGAAGCCCCCGAGCTGGTGCTGAAGACAGACTCCTGTGACGTGAATGACTGCGTCCAGCAAGTGGTGGAGCTGCTGCAGGAGCGGGTGAGAGGAGTGGGAGAGCCACACCCCACACTCTGGGGGGTTGAGATCAAGTCATGCCTGTGTGTTAAATTCCTCATGATGCCAGCAGCTGTGTGTGTATGTGTGTGTGTATGTGTGTGTGTATGAGAGAGAGATGGTGTTCATATGTCTCAGTCAGTGTAAACTTCAGAATGTTTGGGAGTCGGGTAATATTTTGTCACTAATTTCACCACGTGAATTCCTCAGAGCCACGGTGCAGCCATGGCTGTTCAGGCCTGTAGCTTGTGGTTTTAGAGCTGTCAGGCTCGCAGGCACAGTGAAGGTCACGTCCCTGGATGTTAGGGAGTGTCTGAGCCTTCCCACTGACAACTGGCATGTCATGGTGCTGGGTTTTCGGAGGCACACTGGGGAGGGCGGCACTGGGGCGGAGGTGCCCTGTCTGCTTCCTGGGTGGAGGCCTCTGGATATGCAAAGGGTGGGGCCCGCTTAACAGTGCCATTCTTCCCTGCCCCTCCTCCATGTTGCCCCGCCCCCTTCCTTGGCTCCTTAGCTGCCCTTCGCTTTGCTGTGACCACTGCCACAGTGCCAGGCAGTGACACGCCATTGTTCCTTGGTCTGTCCTGACTGGGTTGTGGAGGTTGAGCCTCTTGAGCTAAGGTGTTAGATGGAGCTCTGAAAGCATTTCTGGTGTCTGAACATATGATGACTGTCCAGCCTCTGGATTTTCCACGTTACGAAGTGTCTGTGTGCACTTAGTGTGGGACTTCTTCCCAGATTAGTTCCCTGGTCCAGACACCGTCTGTGGGTAAGCATGGTGGTGCCGCAGTGCATTTTGCTGCACAGGTTTCATCCCAGCGTTGGTTTGGGATGTCCTGAGCCCCTCAGCATGCAAAGTGCACCAAGGGCCAAATTGGCTGAGTGCCTGGGTTACTGCTGCCTGCTTTGCCCCCTGTGCTCCACACTCTGCGGGGCAGGATGCCTCATGTAGGTGCCAGGTGGTATGGAGAGGCCACAGCTGTAGCCAGCAAGGTCCTGCGCAGTGGTGATCCGAGAGAGCCAGCCGCATTTCCAGCTGGGGATTTATGTTGTGGGTGACAGGAACTAGAACTCAGGGCGTGTCACCCTGGGAAATGTCTCAGTGTGTCCTTGGCATCCATGGAGGGGCAGAGCAGGGAGTCTGGAAAGACTTGATTTCCCATCTTCCTCCTCTTTGGCTGAGCACTGCGTTCTGACTTGACATGTTTTTTTCTGTTACCGCGCTGCAGCTCTGTATGCTGTTCATTCTCAGGGTGTCTTTCTAAAGTGTATTTCTCTCTGAAGGCTTTAGACTTTCCCTTGGTTTATAGAATTAATGTGATTTGCGTTCAGGGTTCTTCATAGTTTGATTCTGAGCTGAATATTTCATTTCTTGTCCTTACGTCTTCCACTGTAGCATTATGTGTCTGTCTATCTGTCCATCTCTCTGTGTCTTTCTCTTTCCATTGCTGATCTTCATCTCTAGCATGCTAATAAGCACTTTTCTCCTGACTTGCCCCTAACTTATGGCAGCACTGATTACCTTTCCACGTGTACAGCTGTGGTCTGTGTTATACCTGCTGTCCAGACTGTGCGCTCGTGGGCAGATCCGTTCAGGGTTTAGAGAAGAGGGATAGGTAAGAAGTTAGCACTCCCCGAGCGCTTATGGTTAGGGACGTGTGTGGTCTTCGTGAAATGCTTTGTCCTGTTAGGGTGCGGGGCAGTTGCCCTTTTCCTGCATTAGCTCCAGCCACTTCTCCCTGGATTGCTGTGGTTTCCCAAGTAGTCCTTGTGCAGAGTCATTTTTTTGTTGTCCAATTTTATTCACACAGTAAATCCTGGAGTATTTCAGAGAAGTTAAGGAACTCTTGCTCGCTTGTGGATGTTGGAGTCTCCACCCAAGGTCTGTGCGGTCATTTTTCACACTTTGGCATTTGCTCTCCAGCCTTCTCAGGACATTTGAAGTTCAGTGTAGTGGAATCTGCTTCTGGAAAGGGGTGCTGGTTGCATTAGTTTAGAGCAGGGAAGTTTTCGTATGAGAAATTACTTGTTATCCTAAGCTGGGTGGCAACAGAGAGAAATGCCAGTGCCCCCTGCTGGCTCCCCGTTCCTTGGGACAGAGATTTCACTTCTGTGCTTTCCTAGCAGATGGCCCCGTGTCTTGTAGTTAATGTAAGAGATATTTAGTATCTCCCCATGTGTAGATGCTGCTGCAAACACTGGGGATATGGAGTGAGTTAAATAATAGAATTTCCTAGCCCAGCTCGATGGTGTACCCTTGTAATCCCAGCCTTCTGGGAGGCTGAGGCAGGAGGATCACAAGTTCAAACTCAGTCTGGGTAGCTTAGCAGTGGGTGTCCTCATCACAGGATGACTGGTGTAAAGTGTGCCTTCCAAACATTCCCCTTCTGCCCAGGGTAGCGAGAACAGCTCTGCTTCGTTGCAGCCGCTTCTCAGTGCCCATGGTGCTGGCCGGTACCAGTCTGGTGCAGCGAGGGTTATAGAGGAGGCTGCTCCCCAATCTGCACGGCCCACAGCGGCGGGGACCTGGGTGGTCTTGGAGAGGAGAGAGGCCTCGTATCAGGTCCTGCTGTGGTTTTGGGACAATCAGGTGTGCTGAGCCCTGGGCAGTGACTGAGCTGTCACACCTCTGTGTATCCATCCAGCTCTTCCTTTGCGAGGCCTGGGGTTAGGTCCCCGAGCTGCACTGCCACATGGAGTCTGTGCTGAGCCCGAGGAGTAGTGACCATGCGCTCCCTGTGGGAAGTGGGCACAGGGAGGGGAAATGGGGGAATTCGAAAGGACACTGCGAACTGGGTGTTTGGGCAGAGGGTGACATGGAGACTTAAGGGCAAGGCAAGGCAGGTAGAGAAGCTGGTGAACATTAACCCTGGTGCCATCCGCCCAGGGTTGGCCAGGAGGTTCCAGGACAGATGTCCTTGGAGAAAGTTTGTTTTTCTTTGGTGGAGGATGGTAGTGGCAGTTGAACCCAGGGCCTTTGCGTTGAGCTAGATCGTCTAGATCCCTTTTAATTATTTTTGAGACGGGGTGTCACTAAGTTGCTAGGTTGCCCAGGATGGCTCAAACTTGTAACCCTCCTGCCTCAGCTTCCCAGCGTGCTGGGAACACAGGAGCGCACCATCACACTCAGGCCCCCAGAAGTGTTTTCGAGTCCAGTTGCTGAGGTCTCTGTGCGGGGTTGTGGTCTGGCAGTCGCTTGTGCTAGCTCTTGTTCAGAGTTGTGTGTGTGGCCCCTGGCTGGGGAGGCTTTCTTCTTTCCTCTTTTCCTCCTTTCTTTTTCTTTCCTTTTCCTTTTTTCTTTTCTCTTTTCTTTCTTCTTAAGTTTGACACAGGTGACTCCATTTTGATGTGAACTGTCATACCTCAGAAAGCTAAATGGCTTTTCCAAAGGCCTGTCTATTTGGGGCCTAAAATCTGTGTTGTAAATGGATAATTTGGGGTATTGTCCCACTTACAATGAAAAGTTCACTTCTAAATATATAAAATTAGCCGGTGTGGAGACACATGCTATAATTCCGGCACTCAGGAGGCCAAGGCAGGAGGAGTACTGTGAGTTTGAGGCCAGCCTGGGTTCCATAGCCAGACACAGTCTAAACAAAAGAGTGGTAGATGAAGCTTCCTTTGTCTGGTGCCCAGCAGTGCTTTGAGAGAGAGTTCTAGACCCCTCCTAGCATCCTTCACAAAGACCTCTGCATGGTCCAGGAAGAACGCGTGTGTACAGAGGGTGCTTTAGCATGATGACCACTTTGGTTACCCTGGCACCGTAGTGCGACCTCTTGGAGAGTGTGACCTTGTGGGTGATGTGGCCTCTCGGGGAACGTGACCTCCCGTCGGTTGCCTTGCACTTTCCTTGTGGTGGTGCAGTGTACTTGGGACGGGTGACCTGGCCACTCGTGTGAAGCCTGCAGCCTTTCTGTGCCCCTCCCCTGGCAGCGTCTGTTCTGGAATGCGGAAGCCCCCAGTTACCCAGGGCCTGAGTCAGTAACTTCCCAACCCTCCAGCGGTCACTAGGTGGCCTGCTCGGATCGCACTTTAACTTGGCTGCTTAGGACAGGGCTGCAAGCTGGTTTTAATCTACAGTGACGTTTTAAATACCGGTTTTAAAAGTAAGGGCCTCAGCATATTTCAGTGCTATAGAAGAGGTCGAGGTGGACTTGGACAAGGCGGTGGTTCTGAGTGGATTTCATCTGTGCCCGAGCTCAGGCGACGCCGGAGCAGTGGCTGTGTGGAGCCCAGAGGACAGAGGGAGAGTTACAGCACACACGGATGGGCGCTAGTGTTCAAGTCCACTGAGCACATTCGGCTCTGGAAAAAAGTGCAGAAAATACCGTTTAATCCCCAGTCCGGGCCCTCGGGAGGATGACGGCTCGAGGGTGAGGGCAAGGGATGATTTTCTGCAGCTGGTAACCTGCCGCTCTCCAGGGAAAGACCAGTAGCTGTCTGTGTGCACAAGGATATGGCTATAGCATGGACGGAAGTTTAGATTGTTTTTAGTCCATCAGGCAAAATAAATAAAGGTTTGCAGACCATGTTACATTTTAAATTTAACATTTCACATGGGTGATAGTTAAATATTCCTAGACTAACAGGCTGTAGAGCTCACCCCTTGGTACTAGTGGCCTCTGGATTGTTCCCTGGGCCTCTTAGGATTTGGAGGAGCAGTCCAGAGCCCCCTTTACTCTAGGGGCTGGGAGCCTGGAGCTCTTGGGAAGGGTGTGGAGCCAGGCATCTGATGTATACCTGTGATCCCAACGCTCTGGGAGGCTAAGGCAGGGCGATTGAAAGTTTGAGTCCAGCCTGGGCAATGTAATGACTTAGTGAGATGCTCTCAAAATAAAAAATGAAAAGGGCTGAGGATGTAGCCCAGTGCAGTGCTCCTGGGTTCAATCTCCAGTAGCACCAAAAAAAATTTAATAAATAGCCAGGTGTGGTGGCACACACCTGTAATCCCAGTACTCTGGAAACTGAGGCAGAAGGATTGCTGTGAGTGTGAGGCCAGCCTGGGCTATAAGTGAGTTCAAGGCCAGCCTGAACTGCATAGTGAGACCCTGTCTCAAAAAAGCCAAAATAAATCAATAAATAAGTATTAAGAAAAATAAAAAAGGGAGAAGAGAGGTGAGGTGTCTAAGCAATGGGAAACTTTCTCTGGCCTGGCTTGTTTTGTGTTTTATATTTCAAAGGAAATTTGTGTAAGTAAAGGCTCTATATACACAGGTGAAGAAGAGAACATGGTTTCTCCTAGCTGATTCTGTCAGTGGGAATCTGAATGAATCCCACGTAACACCAACAGCTCCTGTGACAGGGACTTCACTGACGGCCAGGTATCTCGTCTTACTTTGAAGTGGTTTTGCGCCTCTTGGACGTTTAGTGGTGGCTTTGGAAGCCGAGATGTGGAAGACCCTTCCGTCTTCCGGTGGAGGCCGAGTCCTTTGTCCTTGCACCAAGCCTCCCCTTAGAGCCTTTCCACTGGGCAGCGGTTCCTGTCATGCTCAGTTTGTGCCGCTGTGCGCATGGATTCCAGAGCTGCTGCTCGTCTTCTGAAAGAGAAGTTCATTAGCACCTCTTGGACTCTTCTTTTGACATCGGTGAGGCATCAGAAAAATTGGGGGTCTGAATTTTGGCTAAAATACACTTAAAAGTATCACTGGGTGTGAATTTGAAAGGGGAAGAATTTTGGGAGGTGCTTATGATGAGAAAATGCTTTTGACTCCAAAGTAAAGTACAAATGATTCCTTTTCAAGGTCTGTGTGTTGAGCCAGGTAAGGCAGTGTACGACTAAACATGCCTTCTTGCTAATGCGTGGTTATCTGTGCACAAAGCACTTCACAGAGCGGTGTGGTAGGCCCACAGAATAAACATCAGCCATGCCACGTTCAGACTGGTTATCTCGGAGACACTTCCGTTTGCTCACAGCTTATTGGTGCGTTTGTGTCTTAACTGGAAGGTACGGTTGGAAGGAAATGGAGCTATTGTCTATAGAAAATTTTGTTACCTTATAGTTCTCTTTCTCTCTCTGTTTTCAGTGATTCTGGGGATTGAATTCAGGGCCTGTGCACTGAGCTATATCCCTATCCTACCCCTTTTTTATTTTTTACTTTGAGACACTGTCTGGCTAAGTCTTTAAATTGCTCAGACTGGGCTTGGCCACCATCCTCCTGCCTCAGCTTCCCAGAGCGCTGGGACTGCACAGTTCTTGTTTTGAACACTGTCCCTGGGGACTAGCATCAGGCTGTGGGGAGTCAGCTGCGGGAGTGAGGGCACGGCCCGTGGTGTGGAGCACGCTGCTCAGCAGGACCTGGGTGCAGCATTGGGGGACAGGTGTGGGGAAGCAGACAGAAGTGCCCCTGTGCACAGAACAGAGGTGCAAAGATGATTCTGTGGGGTGCGTGCTTTTGACACCTCCAGTTGGTGACAAGGGAGCAAGAACGCTCCCTGGGAAGGTGTTCTTATCCCTATTGGAATTGAGCCTCTGCACTTCTTTGGAGCCCCTAGGTCTCTGTTCCCAGGCTGCACCTTTCATTGTTCCAAGCACAGGGCTCAGAAGCAGGGGAGATAGAAACCGATCGCAGCAGCAGTGTTTGAGAAGTTCGGTGGAGAACTGCTTACTTCCCTTGAGTAGAACCATTTCGGCCTAACAGAAATACGGAAAGGATTGACTACAGTCTTGACTTTACTAACATGCTGAGAGGTCACATACTGCCCGGTGGCCCTGGGAATTACAACTGCTTACCAGCGTTGTCCTGAAAAGAACTCATGAACAATTTGTGTGACGGAATATTCCCTATTTTAGTTTTCACTGGAGAAGCAGGAAAGGGTACTTTTGGAATTGCATATTGGAATTCCTTCGCCGGAATCCCAGTTCTGACATTTGCCAGCTAATGGAGTGGCCTCCAAAGGAGACCTTGCCTTCCCTGGCTTCGGTGTAAGCAGTCAAAGTGATCGATAGTCAGCAGCTGTCTTTAATGAGGCTGTGGCTGTTTCCTGGTGAGCAGCTTGTGCGTGGCCTTGCGTGGCGACTCCAGTCTCCGTGGGGTGCGCGTCACCTGTGTGGAAATGAGCACTTGGGGCCGTGCTCTGAGTCCCGGCATGCATATCAGGCAGTCAGAACAAACTGCTTCTCCTGCCGTGATGGTGGAGTAGAGCTGACATTGTGCTTGCGTATGTCACGTGTGAAGTTCTGTCTGCCTGAGAGAAAGTAGACCAGGAAGAAAGCTGGTTGGGGGAAACACGGCATTCAAAGCTGTCTTCTATGCTGGTTTGTTTTTGGCAGTGCTGAGGATTCACCTCAGGGAGCAGTGAGCTACCTCCCCAGCCCTTTTTATTTTCTTTTGTAATAGAGCCCCACAAGGGTGAGTAGCTGGGATTACAGGTGTGTACAGCTGTGCCCCGCCATTGTCTTTCTGTGAGCACCTGGAAATGGCTTTCCTCACTAAGCTTCCCTTTGGAGCTCTAGGTTGGTGAATCAAACATTTAATTGTGCTCTTGTTGTTATAAAGGACATTGTTCCCGTGGACGCCTCTTACGAAGTGAAAGAACTTTATGTGCCAGAAAACAAACTGCATTTGGCAAAAACAGACGCGGAGTCATTGCCAGTGCTGCAGATTAATAAGGTGAGTCTGGGGACACTTTCCACGCCACGTGGTGGAGCACACACGGGTGCTGGGGTGTGGTGTGCGGTGTTGGAGGCCAGCAGGGAGGGAGTGCATGTGGGCGTTCTGGGGCGGGTCCCTTTCCAGGATGGGGAAAGTGTTAATCCTGTGAAACAGTACTCACGTCTCTGTGGCTTTCATTAACCTCTAGTCAGAATATTTATTTATTTTGAATTATGAAAGGAAGTTTTTGTCAGATTTTTAGTGTAAGAGAAAGACTGGATTCTACAACATGAAGAAATACTACTCTATGATAATTAAAATGATTTTTTTTCCCCTTTAAACATGTTTCCTAATCTCCTAGCCAACACTTGATTAGACTCTCCGTTTCATATATTAAGAATAATTAATATATTAAGAATAATTCAGTTGCATATCCAGGCTCTAGTAATATTGTTAGATATCTTTTCCAGTTGACTTCTAATTTCTAATTTCATCTAGGGATGATGAGGATGGAAATTACAATTTCTCAATCTTAGAAAATTTTAAATTGTACCATTTATGTATATTTTAAAAACAGATTAAGGAATGAAAATATGGACCAGGAATTGGGTTTCCCAGCTTTTCTTTTATGACTGCAAACTCCACAGCACCCAGGAAAGCACCAGGTCCTAGCAGGACTTCTTGGCATAGAGAAGGGCTGGCGGGTCCCTGTGGGGATCTTTCCTGAGGGCCATGTGCCTGCGGCTGGGACGTGGGTGCAGTCACGCAGGGCTCCAGGACCAGAAGGGCACCGAGGGACAGGGCAGGGCAGGGCAGGGCAGGGTAACTCTGGAAGCAGCTCACGGAGCCCGGAGCCGCAGAGGTTGTCACAGGGAGACTTTGCCTGGAATGCACACGTGTGCACACACACACAGACAGCATGAGAGTGCATGAAGATAAGGTCAGTCTTTCCGACTCTAAGACCCAGGACAGTAGCTTTTCTAACTGAATTTTCTCAGTGGTTCCTAAACGTGTCCAGGTGGCGGAGCACCCAAAGGCCCGGCTGTTCTCGCAGGTCCTTGCAGGCCCCGGGGCTGACACAGGTGCACTGGGGTTTAGGCTGTGGCATGAAGGAATTTGCGGTTAGGAACACAGACATTAAGTCCCGACGTTACCTGATGCTCAATTCTACTGAAGACCTGGGAGAATCACTGTCAAAGGGTTAAGAAGAATTCACAGGACGAACACTGAAAGTGAGAAGTATCTCCACGGACGCACTTCTTCTGGGAGTTGGAGCAGGGCCTTCCTTGCTGCCTTCTGGTCTCGCAGGGAACACGGTGGCCAGCGTGCTTCGGGATTAGATTGGAGCCCCCATTTCCACGCACACCACACACTTACCCCCCTGGTGTGAGCCCTGGACAGTTACGAGGATGTGTCCCACACACGGCGTGTCACCCCCTCAGTTCTTAGAGATTCGGGGGGACGTGTTAGGAAGCTGTAGGTTCTGGAAACGAGTTGTCAGGAAATAAAGTGTACTCTGTGTGTCATGGACGTGGGACCCATGTTTGGTAGATGATTTTTATTTAAGACTTCCTTTGGTTTAGGATGGTGTTCACCAGAATGTAGTTTCCAGATCTTCCTGGTCCGCATTTTGGAGGCTCATGAGAGAAATATGAAAAATCTCACAGCAAACTGACTTAATAAGCTGTACACAAAGTGCTCTTTATTTCAGCAAACCTTCCTGGGCATCTGATGCACAGAGTTTGAGAGCTTCTGGTATTGAGGGGGCTGTCCTTACTGGAAGTGCTTTGAGGCCTAAATGTGATAGATACACATAGTGGGGCACTCAGTCATGAAGAAGCATGCATTGGAGTCACTTGTAGGAAAACAGGGTGGATCTTGAAACCATAATGTTAAGTGAAATACATCAGACACAGAAGGCTATCACGTGGTTTGTTTTATATGAGAAAGCCAAATATAAATAATTTAGAGAGCAAAATAAGAGAGCTGATAGGCAACAGGGAAGTAAATAACAGGCCTAAAGTTATTAAAGTCATTACAAAATTTTTTCTCCTGGTGCCTTATGTTTTGTTAGGTTCGTGGAATCATCCTTGTCATGCTTGTTCCCATACAGCACAGTTTTGCCCTGGAGGCCTCTGGTGCTCGTGCTCGTAGACGCACAACCTGGACACCTGTCCCTGTCTCCCACAGGTGGACATGCAGTGGGTACAGGTGCTGGCTGAGGGCTGGGCCACCCCGCTGGGCGGCTTCATGAGGGAGCGCGAGTACCTGCAGTGCCTTCACTTCGACTGTCTCCTGGACGGTGAGCTGCGGGAGGTGTTTGTCACTGTGCTGACACCTGACGGGGCCGTTTTCAGACTGACACACTGGTCCTGAGCAGCGGGCGTGAACCGTGAGGTCTTACTTCCAATTCCCCTTCCCTGTTGTGGTGCGGTGCCCTGGAGACGAGGGCTGAGGATGGACTGCAGAAGCTGTTACAGTCTCCTTGTGCCATAGCCGCCTGGTCATTGAGAGAGCCTCCCCTTGGGCGCACATACACACAAACTAGGCAGCCCATTTTCCACCCTTCCCCAGTGGAGTCACGGAGCCCTGTGTGAGTAGATGGGTGGCCAAACCCGTGGTTCCTTCCTATTCTTTTACAACCCGAGAAACTGTGGCAGAGAAACTGACACCAATGTGGTATTATCCCAGTTCGGTTGCTTTTCTCTCTGGATATGTGCTGTTGGTGAGTGTACTGAGTATGCAGTAAAGAGAGTGCTTTCATTTTTTGTTTCTTTTTTTTTGAGACAGAGTCTTACTATGTAGTTTAGGTTGATCTTGAACTGCCCATGTAATTCAGGCTGGCCCCAAATTTGCAGTGATTGTCCTGCCTCAGCCTCCCCAGTGTGGGGATTACAGGCATGTGCCCCCACACTTGGCAAGAGTGCCAAGGAACCCTCCTCACATGTCACCAAGTTCCCTGGCCGTCGGTCTTCCGGCTGCAGGGCTGTTAGGAAACACAATTCCGGATCGCTGTCATGGAGAAACTGTGGAGAAGGGAGTGTTCCCCTTTGGCTTTTTCCTAGGGAGCTCGTAGGGTTCCTGCACTGCTGCTCAGGCTTGGGCTCATTTTATTTTCTACTTGCGTCGTGCCTGCTGTGGTGGCTTTAGAAGTGGTCAGTTGTCACTGGTGCCACCTTTTGTCCAGGAGACCACATGAGTCCCAAGCGGGCGGGGTTTCTGCAAGCTGTGGATCTGCAGTGCACCAGGAGGGCGTTGTGTCTTTCCAAGCTGCATGCAGTGAGCTGACCAATGGTAAACCAGACTTCTTCAGCTGGAAAGGTTGGGGCGGGAGCTATGCCTAGGTGTCGCTGACATGGTGTTTGATTTGAATGGCGCTGCCCTTGGCTGCTTTTGTTTTGTGGCCAGTGATAGCTGATGTTGGTTTGATTCTAATAATGTTAAGACCATGGCGGGTATTTTTGTCTTCCTGTTGCAAGGATGTACAGATAGAATCACTTAACATGTAGCCGCATCATTCTGTTTTCATGAAGGGTTTGTGTTTTGTTGAAATGGTCCCTGAACAGTTTTTTGTCTCCTTCAGCGGGTGCACACGGTATACTTTTGGTAGTGTTAGTCGTACCTAGCTGATGCTTCTCTGTCAGAAGTTTCTTCTACTTTTGTAGTTCTGTATAGAAATCCCTCCCCAGCTGGGAAGGGTGGCGCACGCCTATGTTCCCAGTGTTCTGGGAGGCTGAGGCAAGAGGATGGCAAGTTTGAGCCCACCCTGTCTCAGTGACTTAGTGAGACCCTGTCTCAGAATTGAAAAAATAGAGCTGGGGATGCAGCTCAGTGTGAAGGACCTGGGTTCAATCCCTAGCACTGGAAAAAATAAAAATCTCCTCCCTCCAGAACAGTGTGGTGAATTGCTATGAGAATTCCTATTCATGGGTCTGATTCTTTTAGCTTTTGCTATTTTGTTTCCTTTTCTTGACTTCTGGGGTGGGTGCTGGCTTCCTCTGAGGCTGTAGTTTGTTCCTTGCCGAGCCCTGCGCCGAGTGGCTGCCTGCTGCTGGCCCCATCGACCTTTGTAGCTCTGCGGAGTGTAGATTAGGCGGGTGGCCGGGAGCGAGCCTGCCAAGTAACCTGTCTCCCTGTCCCTTCCTTTGGCAGGCGGTGTCATTAACTTGTCAGTGCCTATTGTCCTGACGGCCACTCAAGAGGACAAGGAGCGGCTGGATGGCTGCACGGCGTTTGCGCTGATGTACGAGGGCCGACGTGTGGCCATTCTTCGCAACCCGGAGTTTTTTGAGCACCGGAAGGAGGAGCGCTGCGCCCGGCAGTGGGGCACCACATGCAAGAGCCACCCCTACATCAAGGTCCTGGATGCGCCTTGCTGCCATTGCTCGACTTGCCCGTGACACTGAGATGTGGGCTGTCTGGGTGTTGATGCATCAGCTGGCCTTGTTAGCATCTGCAGAATGGCAGCTGGGTCTTAGATCTGTGTAATGAGCATATGAGCTTGTCATTTCAGCCCAGATACATATTTATTCAACTGGTATTTTTAATTTATTTAGTTTTTGGTGCTGGGGACTGGACTCAGGGCCTTGGTAAGCATGTGGTTTAACACCCTTCAGCCAATAACAAATATTTAAAATATCTGCTGTGTCCCGGGCTTGGAGTAAGGTGCTGGTATTTGGAACACAAGGCCTGGACATGCTGGGCACAGAACCGATGCTTGTGGGGTGTAATGGAGCAGATGCTAGTTTTGCACTTAAGAGGGGCCTGCACCGGTGGTCTGGTCCGTGTGAGGCTTTGGCATTGATTTTCCAGTGTGAAGGCAGCATAATGTCTACTGTGTAGTGTGCCTCATTTGCTGGGTGTGTTGTGTATGGAATTTAGCATTAATGTCAAGTTTTTGTCAGTTGTATGGTGCATTAAAGCAGACTTGAAAGTAGCATGGTGCATGGTGGGAGCATGAACTGGCAGAGGAGTGGAGGCTGGGTGTGAGCTGCTCTGTGGAGAGGGCTGGGTCCCTTCCCTGGGGCACCATCTGCCCCCTGAGGCATTGGAAGGAGGAGTGAGCTTGGGAGGAATTGAAGGAAGTGTGGATGTATTTGTAGGTGAGTTGGACAAACTAGAGTTTGAGTTTGCCCGTGATTATGAATGATTCAGAAGTTCAGGGCTGCAGGATATAGGGGTGGGGAGGTGTCCCAGGTTACATTACTGTTAGTTAACATACGGCAACCGTGAAAAGAATGCTTGTATTACTTTAAAAGTCCCAGTTATTCAAATTGCTTTTGTTTCCTGTTCATATGTAAATTTAATAGTTGTTTCACAAGGTTGGAAAAATTACAAAACATGTTTTAATTGTAGTGATGATGAACCTAGCAGAACTTGTTTCCTCTGAGATAGAGATTAGAACATAGCTATACTTACTTAGGTCTTTTTAAGACAGAGTCTCACTATGCAGTTCACTTTGTAGCCCAGGCTTGCCTCCAGCTTGCCTCCATCCTCCTGCCTCAGCCTCCCAAGTGCTGGGATTCCAGGCGTGCGCTGCCATGCCCGGGCCCCTCGCAGTTGTAGTTAGCTCATGTGAGGGCAGTGTTCTTACCAGGTCTGACCTTGGTTTCTGTTCTCTTTCTTCCATTAGATGGTTATGGAACAGGGAGACTGGCTGATCGGAGGGGATCTGCAGGTCCTGGACCGCATCTATTGGAACGATGGCCTTGATCAGTACCGGCTCACTCCGACTGAACTCAAGCAGAAGTTTAAAGACATGAATGCTGGTAAGATGTGGGCCTGGGTAGCTGATGTGAGGCTGCTTGGTGGGAAAGTCCTAGGTGTTTTCCCCAGTGTTGACTAAGGGATGCATAGAGGTCCCTGTAGCAGTAAACTAAGGCAGGTAGAGGCCCAGGTGCCCTGGGGAGTTTTGTTCTGTTGGTGTAGTTTGAGCTCATTGCTTTGCACACAGTGTGGAAGATGGATGCTAATAACAAACGCACACACTGACACTCAGTAGAAACATAGACCAGAACTTACGTGAACAACCCTCAGATAGAGGGCTTCCTGTGCCAGCGAAACGGCTGAACTTTCTCACATTCACTCTGTTAGCAGTGTCTGCTGTGTGTCTTTCTGTGCCTGTAGGCCCATTACCGAGGCCAGGAAATGGACTGGAGAGGCACACATGTATGGTGGAAAAGAGGGAGACAGGCGAAGGAGCAGAGAGTGTGGAGGAGGAGGGCAGGTGCAGGTTCAGGGTGTCTCTGGGCTGGGGAGGAGGCACAGAGAGACAGGAAGACTCTGTGCTGTCCTTCTGGTCCTGTCTGCATGGGACATGGCTCCCGCCAGGACTTGATATAGCTCCTGCTGGCTGGTGCTCACAGGAGGGGTGGTGGAGCCCAGGGCCCGTGGGAGCACTGGTCCCTGGAACTCAGGAGACCACTGAGGTCTGGGGAGTGTGAGGGTCCTGACACCTGCAGAGAGGGGAGGCCCCAGCACTGTGGGTCCAGTAGATGTGGCTGGAAGGGACAGGGGTGTGCAGCTGCCTGTGCGAGAAGCTGCTGACCACATGCTCTGCCAGTGACCTGAAGCCCAGTTCTTGAGGGACCAGTTGGCTTTGGTGGGATCGGAGCTCCTGGTGCAGTCTGGGCCCTGGCTTCCAGCCCCTCTTCTAGAGGACTCCTGGCACTGCTGTGCAGGGTTAAAAGTGAAGGTGGTTTGGGCAGAGCTCCTCTGTCTGTGTCTGAGTGGAAAGGAGAGCAAGAGCTGAAGTTTGAAGTCATAGGAGTTTGACTACGGTGAAGAACTTGTCATATGAAGAAGTTATATGAGTTTGACTCGGGTGGAGGCCTCGGTGGGCTCAGACCCGCATCCTTTCCTGCCCTGCATCCTCACACACACTATTGAGGCATCTCCCTCCTCCTCCGATCAAGAAGCGGGTGTGTGGCCAAGCTGCACATCCCCGAAGTGCAGTAGCTCGTTCTCTCCTTCCTGGCTAACAGTCTTGGGGCCCAAGTGAGGGCTGCAGAAGGACTGATATCACTCAGACGCAGCCCCTGGTCTGTGATGTGAGGTCCCTGTGTCATCAGTACTGACCTCTGTGGTGAAGGGAAAGGGCTTCTGGGAAAGATTTTCCTTCCTGACAGGAAACTGGCATAGGGAGACCCCTCCCCCAACAAGCAGGAAGTGAAAGCTTTGGCCATCATTTCCCAGCCTTCTTCCCTCTCGGCGCTTTCCTGTGAGGGTGACAGCTGTGGCTTTTGCAGCCTTCTGTACCCATAAGCACCCTGCACACCCTGACCTGTGTCCTCACTGTGTGTTTCTCGTCCAACCTGGGAGTCATCTGTCCAGATTTCTTTTCCACAGAAACAATATGTATTTGAGTTATTTAGGACACTCGGAGGTGGGTCTTCTGTTGTAGAGAGTTTAATACACGTGCACTTCCTCGAGCATGTTTAGCAGAGTGCGTGTGAGACCACCTTGCTTTGTTGTGCTTACCCACGATTTGGGTTCCTATCTGGAGCTGATGTCAGTAAGCTGGTTGTTGGCACCCTGGAGAGGTCTTATCATGAAATTATTGCTCATAATTAGGCCTTGAATATTACATCTGTTTTGCAGTCTTCTTTGCAAGCCAAACATTTGGAGTTGTTCGGGGAATTTGTTGCATAATGAATGATTTCAACTTTGTTTAAAGTAGCTGAGAGCCAGTTATTAGCCTTACATCAAACAGCAAAGATTTGTGGTGTTATTTTATTTACTTTTCCATTTTAGACTAAGGCAAATAAGCAACAGACCAAGAAGTTTACTTTGTAGTTCTTGCTCACTCTTGGGAAGCCAGTAGCATGTCATCTACTGGTTGTTCAAAGGAGAGAAAGCAGGGAATTTAGTTATTTTTGCAATACTCTCTTTCTTACCTTTCCCTTCTTCCCTTACTGAAGAACATGTATTTTAATTACCCCACATGGGCTCTTGACCTGTGCCAGAGCAACATTAATTTAGTCAGCTGGCTCTTCAAGACCCCTTTGAGGCTGAAGGATGGAGAGGTCTCTGGTACCCATCCCCATGATTGACATGATGCACTTGCAGATGGTGAGGTCTTCTGGCTACTGCTGAGTGACCAGTCCCGGAGAGGAAGAGTGAATTTTGTTTGAGCCCAGTGAAAGCCTAGGGGCTGCATTCCAGGTAGAATCCTGAGGTTCTGCGTGTTTCCACCAGCAAGAAGGCAGAGGGCCCATCATTTCCTTAGAGTTGCACACGGTAGTGTGGTTGGATACACCTGAGAGCTTTGGGATGTTGTAGGGTTGGCGCTAGTTTAGATGAATGGAGATGTAGGAGAGCATCTTGGGCAGAGCTGGGGTGACTGCGGGAGAGCCTGTGCAGCACTGACTGCAGTCAGCTGTGCGCTGGATGTCTGGCGGGAGCGCCTCTGTCTGTCTGTGAGTCCCAGCAGCAAGCAGATGGAATGCAGAATGTCACCTCTGTGATGACAGCTCAGAAAATGAGCACAGGGACACCCCAGGGGACTGCAGAAGTCCAAAGCCAGTTGTACAGTAATAGTCTACCTGTGAGAGACTTTTACTCAGATTTCCTTCTGTGGCTCTAAGTTTTCCTTTAAGAGGGGGGATTAAAAAGCCAGATGAAAGAGCAAGCGTTGGGGCTGCCCGACCTCCTTCCCCCTAATTCCTGTGCCGCTGGATCTGGCCCAAGTGCCCTCCAGTAGATGAGACGCTTGATCTGTGCTCCTCGGATGTGGCGCTGCTCCTCTGCCTTGTGTTGCTGGCTTGGAGCGTGGAGGATTTTCCTACTGCCTCTACCTAGCATGGTCTACTTGTCTTTCAAGGGTCCAGATCTGGCTTGCTGTCAGTCTGTAAATGTAGTTATGGTGAGCACTGCTCTTCTGGGTTGTGCATGGTCGGGGTGGATGCTGCACTGTGGGCGGAGCTGTGAGTTCATGCAGAGACCTCGCCTGCAAAGCCTGAACTCTGGCTCCTTCCAGGGCCATTGTGCTCACTGTAGTTCTTTCCAGGACTAGCAAACCAGGGGCTAGAAGGAAATGGCCATTGTAAGTGTCAAAACGTTATCGTGTGGGTCATCTTCCATTTCCAGATTCAGTAGAAGTCACAGTCTTAGGAGCAGCAGCTTTAAATAAGCCCTGAGGAATCTTGCTTGGAAAAGCTAATGTGTATCCGAGTGTGGCGGGACATCCTTCTGGGGACAGGGCTGAGAATGTGTGGTGAGTGGGAGTTGCTGTAAGTGTCTGTGGTCCCAGGGTCTTAGTGCACACTGCTCTCTTCTCATCCTGACTGATGATTCCTCCATCTCCCGAGTACAGACAGAGCAGTCCTAACTCCATGACGGTCGCATTCCATATCCTGGGCACACAGGTAGCAGTCGATGTCACGCATCACCGTCTCTGATTCTGCATGTGCGTGTGGCTACCTCGTCCTGAGCATTGGACTCTAAGAGCTGTCCCCTTGGAAGGTCATGGGGCACATCACTAACTTGGGAACTTCTCTTTCCAGACGCCGTCTTTGCGTTTCAGTTGCGCAACCCGGTGCACAATGGCCACGCACTGCTGATGCAGGACACGCACAGGCAGCTGCTGGAGCGCGGCTACCGGCGGCCCGTGCTCCTGCTGCACCCTCTTGGCGGCTGGACCAAGGACGACGACGTCCCCCTGATGTGGCGCATGAAGCAGCATGCTGCGGTGCTGGAGGAGGGGATCCTGAACCCTGAGTCCACCGTGGTGGCCATTTTCCCCTCCCCCATGATGTACGCTGGACCCACTGAGGTAAGCTGTGCTTAAGGTTCCCACAAAGCCACCTGTAGATCTCAGCAGTGCCCCTAGCCGAGCCTGGAGCTCTCAGCATCCCCGTGTCAGGAATGCACCCCGGGCTGGAACCACGACACAGTGTCCCTCGAAAAGGGGTTTCCACTGCTCTCTCTGTGGTCTTGGTCCCTGCGTGTGGGAGAGGGTGACACAGGCCTTTTACCACAGATGCAGCGCCGACAGTACTGCATCTTTAACAGTCCTGGGTCACTGTCCCTGAGGGACAGACTTGGGCTGGTTTTTACCTCCTCCAAGTTTTGCAAGAGCTAAAGGTCTTTCTGTGGGAAGAGAAGCATGCTGTGTCCGTCAGCTTTCTGTCCCCATGACGAATGCTGCACATGGTCACCTTGTAAGAGGAAGGGTCTGTTTTGGCTCACAGTCTGGGAGGTTCAGTCCGTGATCCAGTGGCCTCTTGCTGTTGGAGCTGTGCCATAACAGCACCTCATAATGGAAGCACAGAGCCAGTACCCTCCTGGCCAGGAAGTGAAAGAAAAGGAGGGGTCAGAGGTCTCCCTGTCCCTTTCAAGGCCACACCCCAGGGGCCAGAAGCCCTCCCATTGGCCCTACCTCTTAAAAGTCCCGCTCCTCCCAGAGTGAAACCAGAGCCCAGGTCCCTAGCAGCTGCTCCTCAGGGAATGTTCAAGTCCAGGCTCTTGCTTCCTCCTGTGGCCTCTAGGGGATCCTATCCACCCTCAGCCTGGGAAGAGAACATCTGGGAACCATTTCCCAGGGAGGAAGCAGAATTGCTGCTTGCTATAGGGGAGAGGGTTCCCGTCCAGACGCTGCTCTGTGGTCAGAAGGAATGCTTGCCATCTTTATGTCCCCACGTAGAGAAGAGCACTTAATGGGATTTTAGATTCAAGGTAGAAGAGGCTTTCAAAAATATTGGTTGAGGGAATGAATAAATCAGTGAGTGACCTCAGAAGCAGTGGTGGGAAATTCCAGCCAGCTTCTGGCTGAGGTTCAAGATAAAGAGTAGGATTCGTGTTATTGCTGCATTCCTTTCCATCCCAGCCTTAGAGGGAGATCACTTTACCCAGCCAGGTTGATCTGAGAGTGAAATCCAGTTTAAAGCGACAAACGCTGTGATGTCTTATCTCCCACCCCTAAATTTTATAAATTTAAAAGCCTGAAATTTTTACATGGATCATAGTATTGTGTAGTTTGCTATCTCTTTAGGCTAGATTAGAACTCAGTTATGGTGTGGCATAATATGTTATCTTTTTATCCTAGAAAATTTAATAGTGACAAGCTGGTACAGAAGTACAGGCCTGTCATCTCAGCCTTATGGAGGGTAAAACGGGGAGCACATGTTGGAGCCCAGCCTGGGCAGTTCAGCGACTTAGCATGACCCTGTCTCAAAATAAAAAATAAGAAAGAGCTAGGGATATAGCTCAGTGTGAAGGCCCTGGGTTAACCCCCAGGACCACAAAACAAAGCAGTTACAAGAAGCTGTTTGTGTATGGGAGTCTTCTTTTAGGTTCAGCCCGTGTAATGCACTTAAGGCACTGAAACTCCCCGCCTTCCTCTGTTCCTTGGTCCTCCTGATACTGGCCAGTGATAGCCCCGTGTTTACCACCATGGCCTTTGCTTCTGATATCTCAGAGAGTGACTCTTCTGGAAATAAAGTGACGGTTTTGTTCCGGTGGTTCATCGTTGGTACTGTGATGGAGTTGTTTGTTCTGAAGTTCTCTTGAATTATGGATGGATGTTTCTAAATGCGGGAGTGACCTGCATTTGGGGCCATTTTCTCAGATGCCCATGTGCCCTACTTCAGGGACAGTGTCCTGACCCTCCTCAGTGCGCTGGCTGTCACAGGACCTCCTCTGGCCGCTGCCCTACCTCTATCACTACCCTCAGGCAGAGTCTTGCCGTAAAGGCAGTGGAAGAAATTGTTGGAGTTCCAGGTGTGGGTCTGGGCCTGACTGGGTGCCAGCAGGTTCCAGATTTCGGGTCAGTCTTGTTCAGACGTCTCCGATTTCTGCTTACATGTACATTAAGTGCTTGTTTGAAGGAAGCACACCTAGGGCTAGATATTCTGACCTTTTTCTAATTTGTCTTACTTTGTTTTCGCTTTATATTGCTTTTTAATTCATAAGTTAAGTGAAATTTTCCCAGTTGAACATAAGCATGCAGCTAGCACCCAGGCTGGAAAACAAACAAACTTGAGTCAGCATCGTTGGAGGTCTGTCCTCTGCCTGCTCCGGTTCCTACCACCCTGGTCCTGATGCTTTGAAGGCGTCGTATGCCCAAGGTCAGAGCTTGGATTCAACCTGGGGAGCTCTTGTGGACCCCAATTGTGGAAGGGAAGAGGAAGCGGGTGAGACTGGGTGAAGGGAGAAGCTGAACGGCTTGGTCTCAGTGGAGGCTTCAGTTTACCCCTCAGGCAGTTCTGGAAGAGGCCTTTGGTAATATCCCAGGGTCAGGACGGTCCTGTGAAAGGCGGTGCATGCGTCAGACCTCCTGTCCATGCCTTTCCAAGCACACATCTGTCACCTGCAGCAGGAGCAGAGTCCCTGGGTTCTGCGCTGTGTGTTAGCCTGTTAGGCAGGCAGTGCCCAGCTGGCTCCCTGCGCGGCTGCATCCGCCCAGCAGTGCTTCATGGCCTTGGCCGCCTCTGCTGTTCGCGGCCCTTGTCCTGTGCTGCCAGCCACTCTGCAGTACTCTTGCTGCTCTTCGTCTAACCTCATTCTTTCTTCTGTCCTTGGGCCACTTCCACTAAAAGAGAGATGGGGACTTACAGTAAGTGAGTTTTGATTATAGATGGTGATTAGGAAAAGTACCTTCTTGTGTCGAGTACCTCCTGTGTTTGCTAGGCAGGATTCTGAGCGCGTTACATGTTAACTCGTGTAATTTTCCTAATGACACTAGGAGGCCCGGTGCTCTCAGTGTTCCCACCTTACAGACGAGGAACCCAGCAGGGAACCTAAAGGACCTCCTCGTAGGTGAATCTAAGGAACCGGGTTCCAGAGCTGGATGTTACCCTCTCACAGTTTTTGCATTATTCCTTAACATTACAGTATTTGTAAAAACATGTAACCACATGTTTCTTGAAAACAGATTGGAACTGAATTCATGCAGGAGTTCCACAATAACAAGTCAGGATGCCTCTGCCTGGCATTCCTTCCTGGCGAGCTGCAGTGCGTGGTGCGTGGTACGTGGATCTCAGCTTCTTCCCAGCCTGGAGCTGTGGCCTCTGAAGGCCCATCCTCCCTGCGTGGCTGAATTCTCACCCTTTGTCTTTTTACAAGGCTCCCTGATGGAATCGGCATGCCTACCCATGTTGCTGTGTGGAGTGGGTAGGACAGTGTAGACTACTGCGTTGCCTGGCTTATGACAGTATGGAATAATATTATTAGAAGCCTTAAAAAAATAACAAAGAACCATTTTATGGTGAGTTCCCAGCGCCCTGTTCTGGCTGCCCATAGGGAGCTGTCTGTGTCTCAGGACTGCCCTTGTAACTGGAGCCCTAGAGTTGTAGACGTGGCAGAGCTTGGGACGGCCTGTTCGGGACGCCTCCCAGGCCTGACTTGGAATGTCCTGTGGTGCTTAATGAGGCATGAGGCTCTTAGAGTTAGGAAATGGAAATGAGCAGTTTTGAGTGCTTGAGTCAGTGCTTGGGGAGACATAGATTTTATTCCCATATCACCAGTGAGGTTCCTGAAGCTGAGAGAGACGGTCACTTACTGGTGTGCTGTCACGGGACCAGAGCAGGCAGTAATCGGAGCAGTAAAACCCCGTTTTGTTCAAGACCTACTGATACAGGAGTGATATCAGAGCTCCAAATGGTATAGGGGAAGTAGTATAAGTCCCAACCTGCTAGATATCTGATATGCTGAGTTCATGTTCCCCAAAATCGAAGAATGAATTTTAGGAACAATGAGGTGAACAGCAGGCAGCTTCGCTTCTCAGTTTTTAAGGACTAAACTTTGGAAATCCTGCTGAACATGGCAGTATGTTAGACCATTAAATGCTTTAATGCTTATGACCTGGCGAGATTCAAACTGCTGGGGTGAGTGGTTCCGGAAGACTGCATTCTTTTCTGTGGTGGTACACTGGTGTGTTTGACTTTTATGTGAAGAATTTGCTTGTTAAACACACACACATTACACCAAACCCTCATTTTTGTAACTTTTCCTGTGACGTCAGGAGCAAGTTCTGCAGTAATGCTTACTTGCCAGCTCGTGATAATAAAATGCAAACACTGGCTCTTCCTTTAATCCTTTCCCGTAGGTCATTCAGAAGGCGTTGGTACCAGATTTGTTTCCTTAGCACAAATCCTTTTCAGAGCAGTGAGCAGCTGCTGAGACTGGGTATCAACAGGATGTTCTTGATTTTCCAGGCTATAAAGATTTAATGGCTTGATTCCTAAATTCCTTAGCCCTGGATGGGGGCTAGGTGCAGGGAGAGTTGATTTTCTAATGCTAATTTGTGTGTGAGGAATGAATTGACAGTGTAGGAAATGCACTTTGTCTTATTTCATGAAAAACTAAACAATATACTGTGAGGGGAAAGTAAAAATAAGCCTGTTAAGCAAGAGTTCTGTACTCAAGCAAGACTATCCTTAGAAAGTAAGAAAGTGGCAGCATTGTCAGATGATGGAAATTCAAGAATTAGGAGGTACGGTTCTCTGAGAGCTGCAGCAGACCCCTAGAGGCCCCATCGTCCCTGTGCTGGATGCCAGGAGACTGAGAAAGCAGAGAGACCCATGTATTCACCCTTGTGGGTTAGGGCACAGGGAAGCTACTCGGCTGGGCCACCAGCAGTGCTTGCCACACATAAACAAAATTCCTTTTGCATCAGGAAGTAAAGTCATGGTATTTGTTATGATATGGTATCTAGTTCTAGTTATGGTGTATGTTATTTAGTTCATTGATAAAAACTAAGCAGAAAATAAATTTGTTGTTTGGCTGACCATTTACAGATGATCTTAAATGGTTTTATAGGAAACTTCTGGACATCCTCATGTTTTCCTTTATCAGCCAGAGTGCATCCCGTATTCCAGGCTGCGTGGTGCCCCTGGGGAGCACCTCCTAACCTAGCTCTTGGGGAAGGAAATAAACAGGCTGGAGAGATAAAATGGCAACTGGTAGTGGGTTTGTAGCGCCCATCTCATAGATAGCCCATCACTGAATCCAGGGCCTTTACATTGAGCTATACCCTCAGTAGAGCTAGAACTTGTGATCCTCCTGCCTCAGCCTGCCAGAGTGCTGGGATTATAGGCAGGTACCACCCAGCCTGGCTGAAGTCTGTATTCTTAAATTGAGGTTGTCATAGGCTGACTTGCATTCTTTTGGTTGGAGCATATTAACTTCTCAGTAGTTTTTAAGTTGACTCACAATAGACCTCCTTTTACCCAAGTCTGTTATAATTTTAAAACTAGGTCTCAGGAGAACTGTTCACTAAAATGTAAATTGAGATTCATCAGTCAGATGCAGGAGAACACTGTCCCCATTCAGTCTGCTCACATTTAATTTAGTCCACAAGTTAAGGAGGTGACTTAATTCTCCTGGTGATTTTCCAGGCCTCAGAACCAGAACAGCTACTGCCCAGTGTGCTCTGTGACCCTAGTTCAATGCTTAATTTTCTGGGCTCCAGTCTCCTATCATTTTAAAAGGGCAAACAGCTTTGAATTAAATGACCTGAGCTTCCTTGCATATTTATAAAAAGTCAGTCCCAGTTTACTGACCTAGTGTTTGAAGGATAGATGTAAATATTTAGTGAGCAGATTAAGTTCACTTAAGTTCAGAGAACCTAGACTTCCCTGTTAATATAACTGTGCATAAGCAGCTGCCCATTCTCATGAGACAGAAAAGATACTTCATTGGAATAGAGCTGCAAAGTGAGCAATGGATCACATACTGCTTACAGTCCCCTGGATAAAAATTCAGAGTTGGAGTTACCAGAGCCTCTGCTCCTCATCTGTGTAGGGACTGGAGGTGGTCAGGATCGCCACAGACTGCTGAGGCTGGAGGTGGGCGGAGGAAGGGGTAGCGCCGCCTGCGTGTAGGGAGCAGGTGTCTTTTGGCATCCTGTCCATGTGGAACTGTTACAGCTCAATGCAAGAAGTAGCTGTGCTGTCATAGAAAAAAATCTAGTAATAGCACCTTGGAGTCCTGTCTGTTGGGCTGGAAAGTGGAGAAAGAGAACTAAGACAGCACTAGGGAGCCTTTCTGTGGGCCACAGGAAGCACTGCTCATCAGTACTGTTGGCCCAAAGGAATCGGCCACACTGCAGGGGCAGCAGGAATGGTAGTGGGGCACTGCGCTGACACAGGGCGGGGAAGTGCAGAGGAACACAGGCACGTGCAGAGCTCAGCAAGTGGGGAAACACTAGGCAATCATGAACTCTAGGAAAAGCAGAGGCACAAGGAGGGGAATAAGATAATGAAGATAATAACAGCTACTGTTGATTATGTTCTTACTTCCAATTCCTTGTATTGGTTTATTTTCTTTAAAATTCTTCAAGTAAATATCATGTAATTCCCACTTTACAGATGATTTTACCAGTGATGTTGGCATCACTGTGGTCAGTGGAATGAGAAATAAGAGTGGAATCAGAGCAAGACATATCTTTTATAGTGGAAATCTAGATGATGTGAAAATAATGTCTGTGATTCTCAAAGCTTAATTCTCAAGGCAAAGCAGTATAACATTCTCTCTGGATGTATGCAGGGCAATACCGGTAGAAACAGCTAAGAAAACTGAACTCCATTGATGTGACCAGTTCAGGTCTGGGGAGTGATGCTGTCCCTGGACACTACACTTTTAAACTCTGTGGATAAAATATCTGGAAATGGGAAAGGAACCAAGAGATAGGGGAGGGACATAAAAAGAATTGAGGTATGTTTGGTACATGTACCAAATCCCTGCGATGAAGGTTATCAGTATGTACTGCAAACATGAACTAATCAAATTATGTGTGTAAGTACTTGATAAAAGAGAAGCTACCAAGAAAGATAAAAGGAAAACAGTGTAACAAGTAAAAATCTTCTGGTTCTTCATGTGCAGTGTTTATCATTTGTGCCTTATTTTCATGTAAAACAGTGATGGTTGATAAATCACTAAATATGGAGTCCCACCAGAAATGGAGCTAAGGCCAGATTTCTAGGCCTGGGTTTGTCCTTGGTGTCACTGACCAAATCCCTTAATTGCTGGAGGTCATGCTTTCTTTAAATGTTCCTAACAGCGATGAATCAGAGCTCCCGTCTCAGCCGGGAGTCGGGTTGTGCTGGGCATAGACTGGTTCTGTGTTAGAGGCGAGGTCGTAATGTGAACATGTGAGCTTCAAAGCTTGTTTTGCAGGCAGAATGGCTGTCCACTCATCCCTAGGCCCTTGTGTTGTTCTTACCTAGTGTCCTGGGTTGTGGTCTCCTAGGGTAGGAGCCTGTCCATACCTGCTGAGGTGAGTAACCCTATAACTCAGGTCATTTTCATCCAGTATTTTTTTAATCCATGAAAGTGTAGTGTAGGGAGAGGTTTGTAAGTTGTAAGTATGTTCACAGTGTAAAGAACTTACACAGTGACCACAACCTGATTGCCAGTGCCCGGATTCTGGATCCAAAACCAGGACATTTCCTGCATCGCTGGAGCCCCTGGCATTTGCTTCTTTCCCCCAAGGGCAGCTGCCTTCCTGACCTCTGACCTCATAGGATGGATTCTAAACTTTGTAAGACATCTCAGCTGGTTGAAACCACACACATATGCATGTGTACATTCCTGGGTATTTTGTAAGTAAGCCATGCGTAAATACATCCATATGTATATGTGTTTATACTTTTTGTTTTTTGGTGGGTTTGTTTTTTGAGGAGGGTAATAATGTTCTTGCTCCCCCAGGTAATACAGGTGAGAATTTCTACTAGATGTTCGATGACACTGAGAATTATCCTTCTGCTGCTTGGTGCTTGTTCTGGACGCATGGTCATCTCATAGCCAACTCTCATTCTAGGTCCAGTGGCACTGCAGAGCGCGGATGGTGGCAGGGGCCAATTTTTACATTGTCGGCCGAGACCCAGCTGGCATGCCTCATCCAGAGACGGGGAAGGACCTCTATGAGCCTACCCATGGGGCCAAGGTGCTGACCATGGCGCCCGGCCTCATCACCTTGGAAATTGTTCCCTTCCGCGTGGCGGCATACAACAAGAGGAAGAAGCGGATGGACTATTATGATGCTGAACAGTGAGTGTCCTGCCCTCTGCCCAGGTTTCTGAAATACTGTGTGGTCCCAGCTACCGGCAGGCTTTGGCATGACGTCGCACTCATACTGTTCTGATGACAGCCCTTGTCGTCGATGTTTCAGAGAAAGGCAGATCAAGGAGAGTAAATTTCTCATTATCCTAGAAGTTAGAAGTAGACATAAAAATTGAGTGAAGTGTTGTGGTTCATGGTCTCAGGAATTCTGTCTTGTAGTTCTTGAGGGCAGTATTGGTGTTTCTGCAAGTAGCAGGTCTATGGCCAGCTTTCAGTACTGACGATTGGTAGTAGTGAACGTGGAACGACTACTCCCTTGGGTGGGCCAGCATTGCACTGATTTCTGTCTGTGGCTTGTGTGTAGCGGTGGTGCACTCTAAGTTTAAAGCGGCAGCAGGCGGTATAGAATCTGAAGTTACGGGCTCTAGCTGAGTCTGTGCTGTGTGGTTTCAAAGTCCTGAGTCTTCCCTGCCCTTTCCTCATCTCCGAAATACATCAGTTCCCTCCTAGTTCTTCCTGCAATCCACAGCACCTAGTGATTTTTCTCCCTCAGAAGGGTCTTGTACATACAAGTTGTTTTGTCGAGAGGCTCTTATTTAGTGTATTTGCTTTTCTTGGTACAACAAATATTAAGCAAATAAACCAGATCATTCAGCAGTTATTTTTAATTTACATTTGCCAGTGTCCGTTCCACTGAGGAGGTACTGACTGAACACTGGCGGTGGCCTAGTTTCTTTGAACCAGAGCTCTTTCCCTGTCCTGGGGCACTTACATTGGCTCTCTGTTGAGGAATGACGCCAGCCCTGACCCTGTGTCCTCATGTGGTTTGTCACAGTAGGGACAAGAAAGAAAAAGAAACCTTTAAAAAATTAAAACAGTATTTTCTTGTTTCTAAAAGGAATGCCGAGTTTATTTTCTTTGAGATGCCAAAGTTGTCTGGATAATGGAACACTATTATCGCCACTGCAGACTGAGGACTGGCTGTTTTCTCGTTTAAGGACAGTCATTTGGAGACAGTGCGTATGCTTTGGAGGCAGCAAGCTTTTCTGAGTGACGAGCTGTGGCTAAAAAAAAAGAAAGTCTTACGCAGTAAATGACCACACAGTTTTCAGAACTGGCCTGGGCAGGTGTGAAAGGCCCCAGCTGTCCCTGGGCCCAGATGTGGAATTCAGCGCAGCAGCTGTGCGGGCCTGCATTTGCTGAGACCTCAGATGTGACTGATTCTGACGCTCTTGGGGGCCACATTGGAATATATGACGAGCCAGAATGTTTTTATCCTCATATAAAATCAGGTTTGCCACCAGCTAGAGATAGTTCTAAATCATGTGGGGCTTCCTTTAACCTTACAAAATATGTATGTGCACTGCAGTTTCACTTTAAAAAATTCAGCCATAAAAATGGCATGCTGAGAGTTATATAATTGACTTGTCTTTCACCAAAGGGATGTCTCTTTAAAATCTGTACAGAATACTTTTCAGAAAAATGAAAGCAATTACAGCAAACTATGGGCTCTAAAACTATAAAGGTGATTAAAACCTTAAAATGTACATTATTAAGGAAAGTAAAAACATTTGGGGTGCAGTCCTGCTCTTTTATGGTTAGATTTCAGCAGGCCACCGCTGGAGATTCTAATGGAGCCGGTCTGCAGCTGGGCCTGCCTGTTGGCATTTCTTATAAAAGCCCCCACCTGCTGCAGCCCACCTACGAGGGTCCAGCGCCTTCCTCCGGATCTCTAAAGCCCAGGGGGTCAGAGAGAGGATGCTGGACATGACACCTTCAGTTTCCCACTCAGCACACGATTTGTTTGTCCAGGTTGTAATACAGTAAGAGGTTGTTATCACTTGGTTCCGAGAGTTACAGTGAACCATTTTAAGTCACTTAAATAATGCCAGTGGAGGGCAAGGAGAGAAGAGGAAGATCCTCCCCCCAGTGGCTGAGTACTTTTGTGTGGATTTCCATCTTGTTGTGTTAAGAAAATAAAGCTGAGCTAAAGACAGCATGGAGCCCTCCTTCTCCTCGCCTTGTGCTGGCTGTCTGGGACCTGGGGTACCTTCGCCTGGTTAGCTGGTCTCATCACACCCAGGGCCGGGGCCCCTCTCTGTGAGTTGGGAAGCCCCGGGTAACTTGGATGTTTGCTTAAATCTGTATAATATTGTTTTAAACCTCTCTTTTAATCATTCCAAAGCTAAATAATCACATCAGTTCTCATAAGATTTTCCAGAGATGGATTGTTGCTTGAGTGGCTCATTTCTTTGGAATTTTTGGGTGTACAAGTCTTAATAAGCTGTAACTTGGGAAGCTTTAAGACCGCCTTAGTTTGCTAACTTTTTTATATTTGTGTTCAAATATAATTAAGTTCAAGGGATTATGTTGGAAAGTGATTAAAATTTTGTGGAAAGCAATAGTCTTTGATGTAGTGAGAAAACTTGGTTATTAATTATGCACATGAGGCTGTCTTATGTTTGATTAATGGCTGTTACACAATGCCAGTGCAATGCAATTAATGATTTTGTAGCTTTCGATCTGATTAACTACCAGTGGAAGACAAGGCGTAGGGAAAAAAATTCATGAAGATTTCTGGCAAGATATTATTGATAGGAATTACGGTAAAAATCATCTGTTTACTTTCAGGGAGTTAAGGAAGTTCCCCTTAAGAGTGATTCAAGGAAATTTTGTTTTAGGACTATGAGATGAAAGCTCAGTTTTAGCCTATTACAGACTTTTAGAGAAAATTCAATTATCTTATTTATGTTTGTTTCTCTTTTGGAAAGTAAATCTTTGTATTTGGGTAAATACAAGCTCAGAAACGCAGATTTATTTAGGTTACTGAAATAGCAAATGAAAACAAGAAACAGAATGTGGGCAGGAAGCTCAGTGGAGCAGAGCAGTGGGGGTGCTCGTCACTGATGTCTGTGATTCCAGCAGAGCATTTTATATTTTTAATGCTGGGATGTACTTTATACTGTAGAAGGTTAGGGTCAATACAGAGATGGTTTATTTGAGACAGGATCTCCCTATGCAGTTCAGGCTGGCCTTGAACTCACTGTGTAGCCTAGGCTGGGCTCAAACTCGTCGCGAGCCTCCTGCGTCAGCCTCCCCAGTGCGGGGATTACAGGC